CACTTTGATATCTGAAGTGACTGATCCAATCCGTGGTCTTCTTTTTTTTTTTTATCATTTTATCAGGAGCTCATACATCCCTTATCACCATCCACACATACATCAATTGTGTAAAGCACATTGTACATTCATTGCCCTCATTATGCTCAAAACATTTGCTCTCCATTTAAGCCCCTGGCATCAGTTTCTCATTTCCCCCTCCTTCTCCGCTCCCCCCTCCCTCATGAACCCTGGATAATTTATAAATTATTATTTTTATCTTATCTTGCCCTGTCCGACATCCCCCTTCACTCACTTTTCTGTTGTCTGTCCCTCAGGGAGGAGGTCACACGCAGATCCTTGTAATCGGTTCCCCCTTTCCAACCCACCCTCCTTCTACCCTCCCAGTATCGCCACTCACACCACTGGTCCTGAAGGGATCATCTATCCTGGATTCCCTGTGTTTCCAGTTCCTATCTGTACCGGTGTATATCCTCTGGTCTAGCCAGACTTGCAAGGTAGAATTGGGATCATGATAGTGGCGGGGGGAGGAAGCATTTAGGAGCTAGAGGAAAGTTGTATTTTTCATTGTTGCTACATCGCATCCTGACTGGCTCATCTCCTCCCTGAGACCTTTCTGTAAGGGGATGTCCAGTGGTGTACAAATGGGCTTTGGGTCTCCACTCTGCACTCCCCCCCTCATTCACTATGGTAAGATTTTTTGTTCTGATGATGCCTGATATCTGATCCCTTCAACACCTTGTGATTGCACAGGCTGGTGTGCTTCTTCCATGTGGGCTTTGTTGCTTCTGAGCTAGATGGCCGCTTGTTTACCTTCAAGCCTTTAAGACCCCAGATGCTATATCTTTTGATAGCTGGGCACCATCAGCTTTCTTCACCACATTTGCTTATGTACCCATTTATCTTCAGCAATTGTATCATGGAGGTGAGCACAAAGCTCCACAGGATTTTCAATGGCCGATTTTTTGGAAGTAGAGGGCCAGGACTTTTGTCCAAGGTGCCCCTGGGTAGACTCAAACTACTAACCTACTGGTTAGCAGTGAGCACAAGAAACTGTATGACCCAGCTTCAATCTGAAGACAAGAAAGCACCAGTTAGTCTAACAATACACTCTATGATGGAAGCTTTGAGTTATGACAGAACCTTAATAAAAACTCTAGACATCCAGGTTTTCTGGTTGGCAATCCTCAATCCTTATTGTCACACCTCAGTGCTAGGAGGAGTTAATGATGCCCATGGTTCCATTGGGAGGGAACAACTGGAAAGTACATTTGGAACTCCAAGACTCTGCCCTACCCACCTCTTCCTTCACCCGCATTTCATTCTTTCAATGGGAAAAACCATAACCAAAGCGCAACCACTTCCAGTGAGTTCTACATGTCCTTAGCATGGATTTTGAACCCAATAGTGGTCTTGGAGAACTCTGAGCCTTGCTGTGGGTATCAGAGGTGAGGCTGGTCTTGTGGACTACCCTCGTACTTCATAGGATACTAGGCCACCAGTCATATTTTACACACATGAAGCTGTGTGTAACTTATTCCTGTCACCACAGAGGCTTTGGGGCTGATGTCTGTAGGCTTTGGGGGTTGTCTATAGAGGGTCCAGGATGTCAGTGTGTTGAATGAAAGCTCCGCTTGCATGATGAAATCTTGAAAATCAGAGGACAGCCCGGGCCAAGGATATTCAAAGGCAACCAGTTTACCATAGTGTACTTATCATAGATTCATTTTAGTGTCTCCAGCATCAGTGCATGGCTTACAATGTAAGAGATCCCCAATAAATGTAGGTGAAATGAGGATCTTCACCTGTTGATTCAGTTAGAATTTGATGACTAATTACTGGTTTGTCACCCTGAGAGATAAATTATTTTATCTGGGAGAAGGGAATCCTGGTTGTAAAGGTTGGTGTTGCTTCCTTCCTAAATAACTTACCATTTCATTATCTCTTATTTACCCGCACATTCTTTTGAACACAATTGAGTACCTTTAATTAAGGTGAACTTACTGTGTTGGTCTTGTTTTTCCTTTCTTTCTTTTTTTTTTAAACATTTTATCGGGGGCTCATACAACTGTTATCACAATCCATACACACATCAATTGTGTAAAGCGCATTTGTACATCATTCTCAAAACATTTTCTCTCCACTTAAACCCCTGGCATTAGGTCCTCATTTTTCCCCTCCCTCCCCGCTCAGTCTTGTTTTTTCTAAGAGAGCTAGTTTTGTCTTTTTTCTTTTTGCATTGAAATGGGGCCTGAGAGGAGGGTCTGAGAGGACTGAAGAAAGAGGGTGACTCAGTTTAATATGAATTTAAGGGTCTACGGTGTCTGTTGCTTTGGTAGGCAGTGTACGTGATACGGACAGGCTGAACACATGGCTCTTGATTTACTGGAGCTAGCTTGACTGTACACTTGGGGGAACGCATCTGGTGGGGCCTGGAACATTCTCCATAACATAGACTTAGGAGCTCCAGTCCAGCTGAAGCGGTAGCTAGGGGGTTTATCGTAAACATACCTTTGCAGAGAAAATACACTGTTTTAATTTAGATTGTATATTAGCGGTCATGTGATTTGGGGAAGGAGGCTGGGAGAGATTATTGGAGAGGATATAAAGTCACCCCGAATCTCTGAAGACCCCAGAGAACCTCTCTGAAACAGTATGTGAGTGAGTGTGAGAGGGGAAAAATATGAGCAGGGAGAGAATGACGAAGGAAACAATCCCTGAGAGAATGACCCCAGGGAGCCATACTGTAGGAGGTGGACTTCTGCGAGTCGAGAGGAGAGGAGAAGACAGGTGCAGAGAAGAATCCAGAGGCATGGACAGGAGCAGTGTCAACGAAAGACCCAACAGTCACAAAAGAATTTTGATCCATGTCCGATGGTCTTCCAAATGAACCCAAGACTAGCTGCCTCTTAATTTCCTTCCATTACAGAAAGGAAGGAGAGTTGTTCAAACACACTGCAACACAGCAAAATGACTTGGCCTTGCTAGAACGTGCTCTGCCCTTTATAAAGAACACAAGCAATTTTATCTGCATCTTATCAAGACCGAGAAGCTGGTTATAGTGATTGGAGCGATGCGCCAGCATTGCCAGTCGTCCATGAGTCCACTCAGACTCATGGCAACCCCACTTGTTATTTATCTATCTATCTATCTATCTATCTATCTATCTATCTATCTATCTATCTATCTATCTATCTATCTATCTATAAGACAGTTTTATTGGCCTTTAATTGACATATCACACACTTCAATAAGGCTGTGACCTTTTGAAAGGAGCTAGGTCGGCTTTCCTTCTGAGGAGTTCCGGGTGGATTCTGGCTACCAAGCTGCCAGCAGTGGCGGAGCCGAGCCCTTTGCTGCCCTCGGAGACTGCTGAACCAGTTGCTGTGGCGGAGACTCAGAGAGGGTGACTGCGTGTAAGAGGAGAACTGGCCTTCATAGGCCTTTCAATAGCTAATATTTTTTGAAGTAGGTGGACAGGTTTTAAACTTTTTAGACATTGCTGTGTGCACTCAAAAGCCCAAACTTCCCATTCATAGCCGAGTGTTCTAATCATTTGCCCTACTCATGATGTGCTTGTTCGGTGGAGTGGCCTCCACCTCGATCATTCTACAGACAACAGAGCTGGTCGTGTGCTATCACTGTGCTTGGTGTTACAGTTGAGCGTCCCACTATAAACACACAAACAAACAAGCAAACGTACTGCCATCAAGTTGACTCCGACTCGCAGTGACCCTCGAGAACAGAAGAGAACTGCCCTGTGAGTTTCTGAGTGCGCACATCATGACAGGAGTGGAAAGCTCTCGTTCTCCCGTCGGGCAGCTGGTCTGAAACCGCAGACCTCTGGTTAGCAGCCCAACCAATGACCCATCCAAGCACCAGGCCTCCTACTAAAGTATGTTTTTAGTCAATGCTTGTTGACCAGAACAACTGTGAAATAAATGAATTTTTTGATCAGAGCCTTAAAAGCTTCTGTGTATATTCCCTTTGTTTAAAAATTAATGAACATCGTCAAATAGACATAGCTAAGACAAGGGTAATTTCTAGATGACTAACAATTATTGAGCAGCAAGCGAGTTTTAGCCATAGAACTAAAAATAGAAATAGTAGGGGGAACCAATTATAAGGATCTATATAACCTCCTCCCTGGGGGATGGGCAACAGAAAAGTGGGTGAAGGGAGATGTAGGACAGGGCAAGATATGACAAAATAATAATTTATAAATTATCAAGGGTTCATGAGGGAGGGGCAGCATGGAGGGAGGGAGAAAATGAGGAGCTGATGCCAGGGGCTTAGGTGGAGAGCAAATGTTTTGAGAGTAATGAGGGCAATGAATGTACAATGTGCTTTACACAATTGATGTATGTATGGATTGTGATAAGAGTTGTATGAGCCCCTAATAAAATGATTTAAAAAAATAGAAATCGTTCAGGTGTACGCACTAGGGTACAGTTTCTGAGTCTCTCAATGAACGTCCTTTTTTGGTTTTGTGTCTCTATCCCTAACTGCAGCCAGAGAGAGTTCTCTAGCTCCTCCAAAGGTAATATACAAACCACTTCAATCATGCTTCATCCTGCGTAACCGGTGAATTCTACGAAGCAGGGCATAGGGTGCGTGACAAGGGGTGTTGGCAATTTGTGGAAGAGCATCAATGATGGGGGTATAATTTGTGGGTTGGGTCATTTCTATAGTCAATTAGATAAGCATTTTCTCAAATTAGTTAAGAGCACATTGAAGGTAATGAGAGTGGAAGTGGGGTGAAAGGAAAGGAAGATTTGATCGTGTTCCTGTCAAAGGGTCCTCCTTTGATTTCCCTTCAGGAAGTGGAATAAAAAAATGATAACCAACCTGTGTTCGTCAGTAACCACAACATAAAGACAGTAAGAAGGTCAACAGAAACAGAGGCAGTGATTGCTATAAAACCAACAATTATCCTCATTGACCGTGCACAAGCACGGAAAGAGCCTCTGCACAAAGCCAGTCACCAGACCCAAAGGACCATGGCCATTCTGCATGACGGAGCCGTGGTGAGTATTAATTCCTGTTTAGATGCAGTCGCCTCTGGGACTTCAGAAAAGTAGATTGCTATGGAATTAGGTTAGATTATGGTCTCTTAAAAAAAATCAAAGTTGATGTTATCTGACTACCCAGGTGGATAAAAAGAATAAAAAATTACAGTTACAATGGGGTGCAGAACTCCTCACCCAATGATTTCTGCACAGATGGTGTTTGTGGGCACAGTTCTTGTCATTACATATGATGGGCCATCGTCTGGCAGTGGCCACCCATGACAAAGGTAGGTTGGCCTAGAACTCTTTATGGTGAGAGCTTAGCCAATATTTTAGGGGATGTTGTATATAGTCTGGCCTATAAGGGTACCATGACTTGGAATTGACAGGTAATAGTAGTACACACATGCACACAGTACCCATGTTTTAAAAAGTTTGTAGAGAAATGGAATTAAAAGATAATGGCTTCCCCCCCCCCCCCGCCCAATTAACTTTGTGGAAGCCCCTCTTGCATATTTTTAGAATTCCTTGAGTTGAGCACCCTAGTGATGCAATGATTCGAGTGTTCAGCTGCTTACCGAAAGGTCAGTGTTGGAAGCCCCCAGCCACTCTGTAGAAGGGAGAGGTGTCAGTCTGTGTCTGTAAAGATGAATAGCCTTGGAAACGCTATGGAGGCAGTTCTACTCTGTTCTATAGGGTTGTTATAAATTGGAAACACACTCTATGGCCATGGGTTTTTGGTTGTGCAAACAGTTGGCAATCAGCTACTAACCTAAAGGCTCGAAGTTCAATCCTAGTTCATGGTAGCTCTGAAGAAAAGTCTTGACAATTTGCTTCCATTAGGAGCACAATCAAAAGACTGGAGTACTTCCACTCAGTAGTGCGTGGGGTCAGCGTCAGTCGTGGTATTGTCTCAATGGCATGCACAACAACTTTTTTCTTTTAAACCAAGAAAGTTAGGTCCTAGAGAGATTAATGTGTACCCAAATGCTGGAGGCAGATAGGGAAGGCCCTGAATGTTGGAAATGAAACCCTCCAGAGTGGGACTTTGGACACCTCCCACAGGAAAGCCCCCATGTCTCTGAGAGTTAATGTTGGCATAGCCTTATTCTCCATGGAGGAGAGAGAGACTTACGTGTGATGGAAATCTACCTGGAGCCTTGCCCAGTGTTAGTTGGGTAAGAGTTGGAAGAATTTAAAATGCAGGAATGTGAAAACCAGGCTTGGGAAATCATTCACCATATTATTGGCACAGACAGTTCCTCTTTAATTCTCCCTTTACTAACTAAGCAAACTTTAAAGAGCTTGGATTTCATAAAAGGTTGAAGGCCTTTTAGTGTCAGTGATGATACTATTCCATGTTTACACATTGTTTTAGAGATTACAGGAAACCCAGGGAAGTATAGTCTTCAGACACCCAGGCATGAGAATCAAACAGACATGGCTCCACCACTTATTAAATGTGGCATTTTGGCTGTTTTTCAACTGCAAGGAGTCCTGGGGGCTGAGTGACTCCGTGTTGGCCTTCCATCCTCAAGGTTGGGAGTTTGAAACCACCAGCTTCTCTGTGGGGGAACAGGGGGGCTTTCTACTCCCATGAAGATTTACAGTCTCAGAAACTCCAAGGGGGTAGTTCTACCCGGTCCTAAAGGGTCAGTGTGTGTTGGCATCGACTCTGCGTGAGTTCGTTTGCTTGTTTATTAGTTTTCTTATCTGTATGGTGGTGGAATAATAATATGTCCTTCCTGAGGTTCACTTAAAACTTTTTTTTTAGGGTTTTGATATCATTGAGAATCTAGTCTCCCAGAATGGTAGAACTTCAGAAGCTTAGTTTTTCATTAATTTGGTCATTTTGAGATACAACAACCAAGGAGAGAGAAAGCATTCAATAAGTGTGAGCTCTCGTTGGTCACTTTAATATATAGCAACCAGCAAGGAGAGAGGAAGCATAATAGTAATGATAACAACAACAACATATATATTTATGTGTATATGTGTTTGTGCGCATATATATATGTTCATATGAATATATACGTTCATGAGTATACACATACTCTTTCTCCCACACCTGTTCAGCCATGTGTCTATCTAAACACTTACTAATAGATCACCACTATTGTAAGATTACCATATGTGACAGTATTTGCCTCTATTTTCTTTAACTCTTGAAAACCTCCCCGTGTGTCCCCTTGTTTCCAACATTTTTTGCCAACCTCTCTCTCTAACCGAATGCTATTTAAGTCATCCTTAAGAACTAGCAGGAACCTTGGGAGAAAGGCTGGGCTTTCTGCTCCCATGAACAGTGACAGTCTTGGAAACCCACAGGGACTTGCTATGAGTCAGCCTTGAGTCGACGGCTGGGAGTGAGTGAGCAGGAACTTTATCAAAGCCACCACCTAGTTTGAGATAGCCAGTAAACCCCAACGTTTCAGATCAAAGCTTTGTGGAACAACGCAGAGTGATTTGCAGACATCCTCTGATCTCCTGATAAAGGTCCCTATGACTTACAATGTGTATGCAATTCTGATACAGCTGTGATTTTGCTGAAAATTCTTGCTTCTCTAAAGAGACAAGGTTAAGATTAAACACCATGAACAGATGTTGATAATAATAATGGCCTCCACTGGAAATACCTGTGACCAATGAACCAAGTACAAGTCACCAGACTGTACTAACGGACTGGTTAACTCAACCAACTTATTGACTATCTTTGGTCACAATCCTCCCAGCTACTTACCATATTTTTATGCAAATAGAGTACTCTTTATGCAAAGAAACACAACTGCCTCACATATAACTTTCCTACGCATGTTATTTATATGCGTGTGTTAGGTGCAGAAATTCAGTAATTAGGATAATTAATGTTAGCTCTGCCTACCTCACAAGTCATTTATGAGATGTGTTTTCTAAAATGCACTAAGAATAAAAGTGATTATAATAATGGCTTGTTAGAAGCTTGGCCACTATTGCCAAATTATGGAGACTCAAGATATAGTTGCTTTAAAGTTTTGATAATGAAAATTAGAAGCAGTTGAGTGAATATGATCCCAAAGAAGAAAGGAAACTCAAAGGAGGAATTAGGAAACTTGAAGAAGTGATTAGTAGGCTGGGGAAGCTACCTCGTGGGAAGGACCTCTTATTTATAGCACTTTGGAAGGTGCAGATGGGCAAAATTCCATGCTTAGCTTGCCCACTGCCATTACTAGCACAATGCCAATCATATAATACCTATTGCCATCGTGCCAGTTTTGACTGCGAGTGCCTCTACAGGATACAGCGCAGTGCCCCTGAGAGTTCTCAAGGCTGATTGTCACATCTTTCTCCTACAGAGTTGAACACCAGCCTTCGCTTTGCCACTAGGGCTTCATAGACGTGGTGTGTGGGTGTACACCATGGAGTTGATTCACCTCTTAGTGCAGTGGTTCTCAACCGCGGCCCTTTAATACAGTTCCTCATGTTGTGATGACCCTGTATGTGGGCGAATCGGCTTGATGCAGTGGAACTTCCCCATAGGGTTTCTTAGGCTGTAATCTCTTCATCCACAGAGCCGCAGATGGGTTTGAACTGACAACCTTTCAGTGAGCAGTGAGTGCTTAACTGTGGCACCAACAGGGCTCCTTTCAGATGCATAAAGCCAAAGCCAACGCCATGATAAAGCAGCCCACAATCAATTTCATTGCCATCGAGCCAAGGAGAACTGCACCATTGACCTTCCATGGCTGTAGCTCAGTGGTTTTCAACCTTCCTAATGCCACGACCTTTTAATACAGTTCCTCATGTGGTGGTGACCCCCAACCATAAAATTATTTTCATTACTACTTCATCACTGTTATTTTGCTACTGTTATGAATTGGGCGACTCTTGTGAAAGGGTCATTTGACCCCCAAAGTGGTCGAGATCCACAGGTTGAGAAGGGCTGCTGTAGCTATTTACAGAAGCAGACTCCTTTATCTTTCTCCCCTGGTGCAGCACTTGAACCAGGACGCCACTAGGGTTCCTTTCACATGCATAGCCCAGCCACTGCGGCCACGTCGGATTCTCTTAGTGATTCTGTAGGACAAACTAGTGCTGCTCCTCAGCGTTTCGGGAAGGTAACTCTTTTCTGAAGCAGGCAGGGTCGTCTTTGTTCCAAAGAGGAACTGGTGGGTTTACACCACAGCCTTAGCCCACAGATCACCAGAGGTCCTTTTATATGCACAGCACCTGGATGGATTACCTACCTGTACCAGCACTGTTATTTGTGGCTACCTGAGTCATCTCACTTAATCTTTACATTATCCTGTGGAGAAAGTTCAGTCACAGCTAGTCAAGAGTCCTGGATATGTCTGATGCACCCAAGACATCTGAGTATGGAGCTGATGTTCGAACCCCCACCCTAGAGTCAAGAAACAGTGGTTGAGATTGTGAAAGTAGGTTGACTGCTGACTATCTGAACGCACATCAGCCTCATCCTACTTTATCTGGGTCAATCTTGCCTTCAGCTTTTCGAATCAGCTACCTTAACAGAGCAAGTTGACAAAATGACATTTTGTTTGTCCTTATCCTCATGTCTGTAAAATATGACAAGGAGAGCCTTTTAAACCACCGTGTCTGATCACTAACTCATGGAAGGTGGGAGTCTGAACCCTGAGCCCAAGAGAACCGGAGCATCTCCACTTCATGGAGGCATCGGTATTCTCCACATGCAGAGTGTTGCTGTCCTTGAATCGATTCCAACTCATACCAACTCTATGAGTTATAGGGTTAGTTATAGACACTGGTCACCCTCTTCAGGTGAAGTGGCAACTGTGGGGAATGAACAAAGGCAGAGATGTGACAAAGGGAAGCTGGAGAGATTTTTATTTTAACTCTTCTGTTAGTTAAAATCTCTACAGACATGCTCTGTGCATTTCTATAACACCGGATAAATTGATATTTCAATGAAAGTCTAAGAAATGTATGTTCCAGAGCTAAAGAGAAATCATTTCCATATTCTCTGTAGTTGTGCATCATTAGTGCCCCTGTGTCTTTCAATTAGCATGGATAATTGGAACTTGGCGATAGTTCGTCTTGCCTAACGTTTTCCTTATCACAATGAGCTTAGCTATATTGTTTAATTTAACTGTATAGTTTTGTTCTTCCATTCACGCATCCATTCTCCCATTCACCCTGAAAGTATTCATGGAGCACCCTTCCGGTGCGATGTTCCTGGGAAGGAAGAGACAATCTGATGGGCGCAGATCTAATGTGATTACAAAGACGGCATCTGAAGACAATTAAAAAATGCTGCTTGGCTGTTAGACTGTTTAAAAAGATTGTAAGATAGAAAACATACTCTTTTATAGAATGACTTTAGGAAGAACTCCAGGGTACGGAGTGGGTCCTTTATAAATCCAAGTTCACTGCCATTGAGCTGATGCTGACTCATAGTGATTTTACAGGGCCGGGTAGCACTGCCTCAGTGAGTTTCTGAGATGTTTCTGGGGGGTAAAAAGGCACACCTTGGCACACCTTTCTCCAGCAGAGCGGCTGGTGGTTTCAAACAGCTGACCTTGTGGATCACAGCTCAACAAGTAACCACCATGCCACCAGGGCTCCCGGAGAATCTATAGAGGGATAGGCTTTTGGTAAACAGAAACTGGGCAGAGTCTTCTAGGTGGAGAGAGTATTGGGAGGAAGAATTATATGCAGGGTTTATGGGCCATGAGGTTGCGGACAAAATCAAACAAGAGCTAGCCTTTATTAAGCACCCCTCTTCTGTCAAACAGATTTATAGGCACTTTATGAGTCGAATATCCCTGGTAGTACAATGAGCTAAGCATGAAACTGCTAACCAATAGCTCAGCAATTCCAACTCACCAGCGTCTCTGAAGGAAAAGGGGGTGGCAGTCGGATCCAGTGAAGATTTACAACCCTGGAAACCCCACGGGGCGGGGCTACTCTGTTCTGTAACCTCATTATGAGTCGAACTGACCCAATGGCAGTGGGTGGGTTACACACAAAACGCATTTAATCTTGCCAATGTGATTTTGAGATGAATATTATTTCCGATTGGAAAGAAAAGTCACTAGAAGCTGTTAGATCGCTCCCTCCCGTCGTCCTTGGCTTCTCACTAGAAAGAACTCGCACCGAAGCCAGGTGTGTGATCCGAGTGAGTTTATAGCAAATAGGAGCAGCACGAGTGCGCGGGACTCAGCCACTGGGGCCACAGCCCGGCCCGCCGCGCTGAGAGAGCGCCCCAGAGCAACACCTCTGGCTTTTGGGGGCCCCGCTGGGAGGCATGCTCTACCATACTGGTCCACCCCATTGACTCAATCAAATTCACCTGGCTTAGGTGGGCCAACCCAGGTGTACCGCCCACCTAGGTGTACCACCCCTTCCTGGCCAGGGCCTCGAACCTAGCAAAGCTCAGTGAGAAAGTCTTCAAATCCAGCCGTAGAGCCCTGACAAGTCCGTGCCAGCGGGGGAGCTGCAGACTGCAGAGGGCAGCCACCACCGGGCCACTGAGCTCAGTCTTCCGTTTGACAGACAGCCTGCTGTCTTCCAGCACGACAGTTCCCATTTTCAGGGGGAGCGCCTAGGGTTCTAGGCCGGACCCCCCTTTCTCCCTTCTTCTCCCCCCACCTCCCCCTACCCTTCTGGTATCACTATCCCCGCTCCTGTTCCTGGATTCCGTGTGTCGTGAGCTTTCTATACCTGTGTACATGTTCCGGTCTAGTCTGAATTGAGAAGCAGCACTGGCATATACCCCTCTACAGGGGGAAGACCACAGACAACATGGGGGAAGGGACACAGTGGTTGCTGTGAGAGATGAAAATAATAATGTGCAATCTATCAGGGGGTTATGAGGTTGTGGGGGGCGGGGGAGGGAAAGAGCTGATACCAAGGGCTCGATAGAAAGTAAATGTCTAGAAAGAATGAAGCAACATATCTACAAACATGCCTGATTTAATTGATGTCTACGAGGTCCCAATAAAATGATTTTTAAAAAAGCCCTGAGCCCATGAAAGGACTGTGTATCTGTTTCCTGAGCTGCGGTAGCAAAATGCCACAGAGGGTATGGCTTTAAATGACAAGAGGCAGAAGCCTGAATTCAGGGGGCTGGCAGGGTAATTCTCTCTCTGTATGCTCCAGGGGAGACCCTTCCTGGTCTCCAGCTTCTGATGTTCTGTGACTTGTAGACGCACCTGCACGTGGCCATCTTTCCTCTGTGTCTCTCTGTTTCTTTTCTCCTCTTTTATAAGGACATCACTCAGATGTGACTGGGCCTATTCTACTCTGGTATGACCTCATGTTAAGTAGCAACATCTTCAAGGACTCTGTTTCCATAACAGGTCGCCTTTACAGGTGCAATGGCTAGGACCACAGCCTGAATTTGGCATCCCGCCTCTGTTATGGATTGAATTCTGGAATTCATTCTATAACAGAGGAAGAGGGAATCTTGGAATTCAATTGAGAACCGAGGAAGAATGTCAAGTTCAGCTGAAATGTGCAGTTGCTCTCGCCAGTAAGTGATGTCAGAGACCTTAACCAACGGTGACCTCCTCTCTTTTCCAGGTCAAGTTCCTGCTGTTATTGATGTTGGGGCTCACCCTCCTGAAAGCAGGCGATGCTGCCCCCAAAACACCCAAGAATTGCCCCGCTCAGGAGGAGAGCATTGTGCAGCTTGGCATTAGCACTTTCAATGAAAACCAGGGTGGTCCCATTTTATCAAACATCAACAACCGTTCCACCTCCCCCTGGGATTACAAGTAAGTGTAAAAGAGGTGGATCTTCACTTCCACTTCATAAAGTAGGTTACTGGGTTCTAATGACAGTAGAAAACTAAAGGTGATACGGAAAAATAACAACGAAACACTCATATTCACTCTTTCTTAAAAACAGAAATTCTATTTTATCTAGGCACTCACATTTCTCCTGCAGGATTTGGTCCACCTATGTGATCAAAAATCCCACTTCTTCATTAACTCAATAACGCTCTGCCTTTGTCTGCTTCACAAAGTCCTAAGCTGGAATAAATGAACTTCCTGAATTGGACGTTTTGAACGTAGCCCCAGGGTTTTGTTTCCCAGGGCTATCTTTGCCTGGGGAGAAGTGGGAAGCAGACACGTCAGCTTAGAGACAGGCATTCTGATCAGACATCTGTCTCCAAGGACTGGGCAGGAGGCAAACCCAAAGAACCAACCCCTGTGCCGTGGAGAAGAGGCAAGAGTGAAGGACAAGGGCCCGTTTGTAAAGAGGGATGGTAGCTGGGGCACTCACTATTCAGCTTCTTGATTTTATTTCAAAGTGGAGGTTCTCAGAACACAGGTATGAAGTGAGCGTCAGGGACTACTCGGAGTGCTGTGGGGTTGTTGCATTGCTTCCCACGTGAATGGAGTGTGTTTGATGGCAAGTTGGCTGGGGTGACTTTGTTGCCTTCTTGTTTCCTGGTTGGGGTCCTCAAACCCAAACAACACACTGCCTTGGAGTCTACCCTGACTCAGAGCGACCTTACAGGACAGGTTGGAAGTGCCCCCTGTGAGTTTCTAAGACTACGGTAACCCTTTACAGGAGTAGAAAGCCCTGTCTTTCTCTCTTAGAGTGGCTTCAGCTTCAAACTGCTGATCTTAGCAGCCCAGCATATAACCGCTAGGCCACCAGGGCTCCTCCACCTGTGCAGTGGGAGACCCAGGTTCCTGAATGGCACAAATAGTTTGCACTTTAATCACCGAAAGTTGGGCAGTGCAAAGCTACTCGGTGGCACTACAGAGAATGGCACAGTGATTTGCTTCCATTACGATTGTCCTGTTGGGGGGCCACCGAGCTGGTTCTTGCTCATAGGGCCTCCAGGTACAACAGAAAGAACCCCTGCCAGGCCCTGTGCCAGCCTCACAATCCTTTGAGATCATTATTGTAGCCACCATGCCAATCCATTTCACACAGGGCCCTCCTCCGTCCCTCCAATCCTCTACTTGACCAAGGCTGGCGTCTTCTCCAGGAACTGGTGCGTGCTGATAGCATGTTCAAAGAAAGCGAGACCCCGTGTCCCCAGCCTCCCATCCAAGGCGTGTTCTGCCTGTGCTGCTTCCCAAACAGATTTTGCTCATTCTTCTGGCGTCTCAGCGTTCCTCGCCAGCAGATTACATTTACCCTTAAGATTTTTGTTGCCAAAAAATAAAGTAACAACCAAAAAACCCTATGAATTCATTCTACTTTGTAACATAGGAGGCTTTCATGAGCCAGAATCCACGCAAGAGAACTAGGTTTAATTATAATTAAACTAGGTTTAATTAAAACTTTAATTAAACTAGGTTTAATTATAATAATAATGGCCACGATAATAATAATAATAACAGCAATCACATCCACGTAAAATAGAACAGCTAACAGGCGTCGAATGCTAACGTTTTACAGTGCAATACTTTATACCCTTGGGCATCACTGAGTGTTCTCAACAATCCCATGAGAGAAATTAAGAAGGATTCTCATTTTATCATCGAGGAAAGTGAGGCCCAGAGAGTTAACCAACTACCAACTGCTGGTGTCTGGGCCCAGGTTGTCTGTATTGCTACCTGACTTGGATTCACCTGCCGGTGACTCAGTCCCTTTGCCTCTGAACAGCTCTACCTCGCTTGCCTCACCATGCTGCGTTTGTCTGTTCCTTCTGCAGACTCACCAAGGACCTGAACCGCATTCCCTTTTCCATCGCAGAGGCTGAATGCAGGGCCATCAGCTGCACTGGTGCCAATGGGGAGTCAAACAGCTTCATGAACTCCGTTCCCATCCATCAGGAGACCCTGGTCCTCCGGAGGGAGCCCCAGGGCTGCTCCCTTTTCAGGCTGGAGAAGATACAGTTGGTTGTTGGGTGCACCTGTGTCACCCCTCGCATCACCCGTGCAGACTGAGAACTGTCCATCATCTCAGTGGAAGGGGCTGTAGAAATGCCAGTCCTTACTCAGTGCCCTCCATCTAGCCCTGCTCGTCCTTAATGCCCTCTACTTCACAGGGCTTTTCTTAAGACCTGAATGGAATTCTCAAGGCTTTCTATTAGATTGATACTATTGACTTTCTGGGTCTCTTCCAAATCATAATGTTGTCCTGAAATGTCCCAATGTCCCACCTCATTTGAAAAGAGATGTGGAGCATGATGGATCCCTTAAACCCCGCTGCTCATGCTCTCTGTGGCTGCCTCCTAGCCATGCTGCCACCCTGAGCCTGGGCCACACAGAGGTCAGGGAGATGTGGGTAAAATGGGACTTGTTCCATGTGGAGGACAGCACAGACAACGGAGTTGGAATGTGGGGGTGGGGGTGGGGCTGCCCAGGGTGAGGTGGGTTTGGGGGTGATAAGGACAAGGACCAAGTAGAATATGTTTAGGATGTTTATGAATGAGGTGGGTAGGAACGACTACATGTTTATATCTGTAAGGAGATTGTCCATATATTTATGACCTGCTGATCATATAAAATTAATGTATCGAGAAACAATATAATAAAGTATTGATTGAAAAAAAAGACTTCAGGTGTTCCATTTCTGTTTCAGCTTATACTCAGAGAGACCTGCCTCCTCTCAGTATTTGAAATCGATATACCTATCATTTGCTTTTCCTATTTTCCTCACTGCAGCACCTGTGTTGGTGTTCCTTTATTGACAGTGGTTTTGGGGGATACATGAACAATTAAGGAAAATGGGGCAAACAGAACTCGGTTTCCTTGGTAACTGCTTACAACGGGAATTTATATTGGCCTCTTTGCTAGTTGCTGGGGATACAGATAACAGTAGCCAATGCATACAATCAAAAATCAAACTCACTGCCACGGAGCCAATTCTGATTCATAGCGACCCTGTGGAACATGCCCCCGGGCATTTCTGAGACCTTAACTCTTTACAGGAGTAGAAAACCTTAAAGTTAGCAGCCCAACTAGTAACCCACTATACTACAAGGGCTTCTAGCCATGCATGCATAGAGACAGGTCATATATTTTGGTAGTGGGCACTCAGTCTCTGATCATTAAGTGTGGGGTACCAGCCTCCACCATTGAACAGGTCCAAGGGGCAGTTGTGTAATTGAGGGATAAAATTAAAGAGACATCAGACAAGATAAAGCATATGAGTGCTCACCTTGGGGACCACCATGACCTCAGGAGCCAGATCCTTGCAGAGAACACAAATATATTTCCAACAAAGGCTTATATACACTCTAGGGGTGTGCAAGCCCTAATTACGGACAACCATGTGTGTAACAGGAAGAGGTGGTACAACAGGCATACGTGTGACAGGAAGACATCCACATAACAAGATAGGAGAACTCTAGAGTCAAGATGGCAGCCTCACCTTGGTCGTCCCCTAGATGGCTTGGCCTTAGTTGTCTTTGGGCTCTCCTCCAGGGGAACAATCCATTTTCCTTATCAGAAGGGAGTGGGCTCTACTTAGGGTGGGACAGATTATAGGGTCTGATTGCTCTAGCTGGCTGATAACCTTCAGGCAGATAATCTTCAAGCATTTGACCTCCAAGTGTATAGTTAGTGTTTGCAAACAGCACCTTAGATTTGGCATATGTTATGGGGGGGACAACCTGGGGAATAGGGTCATGGTGGTCCCTTTCTGTGCCTTCATTATGACTTCTGAACCTGTTGGAGCTTTCACCCATCTCTGATGCATCTTGGGTACCTAGGGGCTTTCAGATGGTCTCCAAGCCACTCTGGGAAGCTCAGAGGCTCTCTCAACCATGTCATGCATGGAAACATCGCCCCATGTTTTCTCTTTTCCCACTATCATGCCGCTGGCCCCAAATGCATCAGCATTGCTGTTGTCTTCCAGGTCCTAGAGAAGTAGTGGGGCATGCGTTCCCACTGTTCAGTCCCAACTCTCCAGCTCTGACCTAGAGTCTGGCTTGAGAATGGGCAGGAGCCGTGAACCCATAGCCCATTTCGAACTCCTTAGTATGGGTGAGCAATTTCAATCTAGTCTGTTAGTTAGGGTGGGGATAGAGTGGTTGGGTACACTCTTCATCTCTTCAGTCCAGAATCTTCTGCTTACGGTATAAACATTGACTTTAATACTTAAAATGGTTTTCCCCATAGCTATCAGTTTTAATCATGATTTCACAAGCCCATTTTGATACTCAGACCTGTTCAAGGAAACGTCTTTTCCCTGCATGAGTTTTGTACTTAGAATGCCACATGGAGAATGGTACAGATAATAAGCCCTCTGTGTCGTCTGAGTCATGGGGCCATTATAGAGCTGAAAAGAAACCACTGGGAAAAGTTAAACTTCTGTGTATTTAAAGTCATTATCTCATTATACATGTGCCCCAGCAAATTCAAGACCGAGCTATGCGTGGTTACCAGGGTGGGAACTATTAAGAAAACACAGATGACGCTAATGCACTAGGACATTTCAGAGTAGGGGTGGCTTTTTGCCTTCAGATGAATTAGTCTGGAGGAAAACGAGGGAAGGGCATTTCTATCAGAGGGAACAGCATACGCTGGGCAGGGAAGCACAAATCAGTGTGGTGCGCTGGGGACATGGTGAGCAGGTCTAAGCTTGGAAGAGTGGGCACATGGGGACACAGTAGTGGGCCCCTAATCAATATTTCTTGGATCAGTGACATCTTAAATCAACTTGAC